TGTTTCGACAGAGTCTCGCCCTGTCACCCAGGCTGGGGTACAGTGGGACACGATCTTGGCTCACTGCACCCTCCATCTCTGAAGTTCAATTGATTTTCCTGCCTCAGCCTCCCGAGTAGCTGGGACTACAGGCACTCACCACCATGCCTGGCTAATGTATTTTTGTATTTTTAGTGGAGACGGAGTTTCACCTTATTGTCCAGGCTGGTCATGAACTCCTGACCTCAAGTGATGCACCTGCCTGGGCCTGCCAAAGTGCTGGGTTTACAGGCGTGAGCCACCACTCAGACTAATGTTCATTTCTATTGCGCATCTTAAGGCGAACTTGTCTCTATTCTCTAGATCCATGTAAACATCTTAACCTAACATAGTAATTCTGTTTTGGTCTTCTTTTTCCCTGACAGGAAACTTTTTTAAGTTGTATTCAATACTTACTGTTTTCTTCAGTATTTGCCCTAAAGCATACATATCTGCATTTCTGAATGGCAGTATCATTATAGTATTAGATGACTGGCATTCAAAAACAGTAACACTTTGAGTATTTATTTTTTATTCCCAAGTCTGAACTTGATTTATTATAACTCCTAACTTTAAACAGGATCACTTTTCTAAAAAAACGATTTAAAAAACTGCATTTATGAGAATCTTAATGGCATTAACCACTCTGTTTTTGAAATTAGTAACAGGCTGTCAGATTTTTTTCTAGACTTCTTTTTATACTTAAGGGGAAACTATTCACTAATTGCAGTTCTTACCCTTTTACTTTGACAAATATTACAAACACAGAGACAGTAATCCTAATAGTCTTGTACATTTTCATTTCAAGGCACTGACAGTTGCTAGCAAACACCATCAGATTGTGAAAATGGATCTGAGAAGTCGATATCTAGATTCTCTCAAGGCTATTGTTTTTAAACAGTATAATCAGGTGAGCCAATCTGTGACTCTCTTTAAAGGTAAATCTTTATTTTCTCTTTCACACCGGAGTTAGAAGCTAGTGGGAAAAGTCGCTACTGGGAAAAATCTACCTCTGACAAGAAGAGATCACTTTAGGTATTCCTGAAATGAAGAAAGCTTGTTATTAGTGAACATGAAAGGAAAATAAAAATTCCCTACAGTCATCTTTTTACAATTGTGTTTTATACCACTCATTAGTCATTGGAGTCTATGTTATAGATCTCAGCTTCCAAATCAGCTAATCCTCCTAGAATTTGTTTTTTCTTTAGAGTAATTTTACATTGTCTTTTGAAGCTAAATACATTATTCTATCAAACAACAGAAAAGTGTAATTAGTTTTTTGTCCCATCAGTCTAGCAGGTTATATAGGTGCTGGAATTAAAGAGAAAAGCCATGCTTTTTTTAAGTCCCAAAATTCATTTGTTAATATTATTGGAATGTAATGTTCCCCTCTAATGACAAGTACAGATCTGTCCTTACAGTGCAGGGGTGTTTTTTCAAACTATGCATGACAAATGTCTGCATATGTGTTGAGACTCCTGTGGTGGATTGTTAATGTGCTGTGTATATCTTTGAGCCATTAGAGATGTTATAGTTAGGCATTTTCATCTGTTCTAAGCAGAAAGAAGTGATGCTCCCTGCAAGTAGTCCCTCTTTAAGGAAAAACTATCATTAAGAAGTTTTGTCAGTCGGGCACGGTGGCTCACGCCTGTATTCCCAGCACTTTGGGAGGCTGAGGCGGGCAGATCACCTGAAGTCAGGAGTTCGAGATCAGCCTGACCAACATGGAGAAAGCTATCTCTACTAAAAATACAAAAGTATCTGGGCATGATGGCGGATGCCTGTAATCCCAGCTATTTGGGAGGCTGAATCAGGAGAATCACTTGCACCCAGGAGGCGGAGGTGGCAGTGACCCGAGATAATGCCGTTGCACTCCAGCCTGGGCAACAAGAGCGAAATGCCATCTCAAAAAAAAAAAAAAAAGTTATGTCATGAGGCCAGGCACAGTGGTTCACATCTGTAATCCAGCACGTTAGGAGGCCAAGGTGGGAGGATTGCTTCAGCCCAGGATTTCAAGACTAGCCTGGGCAACATAGGGAGAACCCATCTCTACAAAATAAAAAATAATTTTTTTTTAATTTAAATCATGATTTTCTTCTCTAGCCATCCCTTCCTACCTACTACCTTCCACCAAATTGATATAAACTATTCTGCTGTCATATGACAGCAGTAGCCAGGCACAGTGGCTCATGCCTGTACCCCTAGCTCTTTGGGTGAATTCCTTGAGCCCAGGACCAGCTTGGGCAATACGGCAAAACGCTGTCTCTACCAAAAATACAATAAATAGCCAGGTGTGGTGGCATGTGCCTGTAATCCCAGCTACCTGGGAAGGTTAGGTAAGAGGATCACCATAGCCCAGGGAGATTGAGGCTACAGCGAGCCCTGATTACACCACTGCACTCCAGCCTGGGCAACAGAATGAGATATTGTCTCAAAAACAAAAAAAATGACAATGGCATTCTTAGGAAAATCCACATCGTCAAGCACTGAACTATAAAAACAGTGGCCTCAGTGGGTGAACGTAAGAGAAGGGGTTCAGGAGATTCAGACTTAAAGTAGAAAGGTTATGTTTCCAAAAGCAATCTCAGTAAGTTTTTTAGGGTTGTGAAGATTCAGCACTGACGATGCTGAAATACCACAGTGCAAATGCTTCTGTTGATTCCTTGGGCTTTGCACTTGCTAGATCCATTTCTTTTTCTTTTTCTTTTTCTTTTTTTTTCCTTGAGACGGCGTTTTGCTCTTGTTGCCCAGGCAGGAGTGCAATGGCGTGATCTTGGCTCACCACAACCTCCACCTCCCAGGTCCAAGTGATTCTCCTGCCTCAGCCTCCCAAGTAGTTGGGACTACAGGTGTGTGCCACCACGCCTGGCTAATTTTTTGTGTTTTTAGTAGAGACAGGGTTTCACCGTGTTTGCCAGGATGGTCTCGATCTCCTGACGTGATCCACCTGCTTTGGCCTCCCAAAGTGCTGGGATTACAGGTGTGAGCCACCACGCCCGGCTCACCAGATCCATTTCTGTGATAACAAAGGACCGAGCTCCCCAAACGGAACAGTGAGCTGCAGCCCCAGCAGCCTCCTTATCAGTGTCCTGCTCAACTCAGCCAGGATATGGCCTCGGACCTTTTTGTTGGAAAAAAAAAACATTTGGCATACTTTAATATTCTAAAACCAATTAATATGTATACTTCAAGACGTCAAAATTAGTAAAACATTCACTTTTTTTTTTCCTAGATCTTTGAAACTCACAACTCTACAACGCCTCTACAGGAAAGAAACCTTGGACTAGATATAAATAGTATGTGTGTTTTAATATAAAACTGAATTTTGGAAATGCATCATTCCCTTATAGATTTCTTTCACTTGGTAAACCGTATATACTGGGATCCTAATTCAACACTATGTATTTTCAGAAAAATTGAAAATTAAGTATCTGTTGAAGGAGGAAAGCTAATCGACCATAGGTCTCCATTAGAATTTACTGGAGTAACAATAAACAACAAAACAATAATGACAAAAACAAAAATTAGCTAATAGTTGCCGAGCATTTCTTGTGTGCCAGGCACCACACTAAGATGTTTATATACATTCTTTCCTTAATCTTCACAGTAGTCCTGTGAATAAGTGC